TCCCTTTAATCCATTTCTGGGTCAGGGGGGTGGCAGTCAGAGATGCCACCCAAGTCTCATAGCACCAGCCCCTCACTGACCCTCTGCAGGTGGTGAGTCCACAGGAGGACGGCTGCTCTCTGAGTGTGAGCATAGCCTTGATCTTTCAGTGGGGGCTTTGGGCAAAGTGGGGTTAAGTGTCTTGCCCAAGGACACAACGACAGCAGTCATCAGTGGGAGTCGGTGGAGAAGGTGCAGAGGTGGGATGATTCCATGATCACATTAAAACATTACAGAAAACATTTGTTATTCCATTCTCCGTTCAGCACTCCTCATTTCACAACACACTCACAACACACTCACAACACACTCACATCGCACTCACACAGGCCGCCTCCCCACGTTAGTATATTGGTCCAGAGTTTTGTTAAGGTCAACGTAGTGTACTTGACATGACGCACAAACATATAACACACACAAACATATAACATACACAAACATATAACACACACAAACATATAACACACACAAACATATAGACAACACAGAAGGCCTGTAATTTTAACTTTGTTATATTTTTCCATGTCCAATTACAATTGTCTCATGAGCTATTTCTATTGTTGCAACTTTCAGAGCCTGCAGAACATGCAGAACTTTGAGAGATTTTTTCTTAAAAGGATCCATTTCCAACTTTAGTGTTTACCACGTGGTCTGTACTCGGGCTTATCACAGATTGTGTCCCCTATATTTTTAATGAGCTCTTGTTACTTTAAAATGTTTTTCCCTTTTTTTTTTTTTTAAAAAAGCCAGTTCGGATTCCTTAAAAATGTAAATTAGTTTCAAACTTTAATACTTCACCTTTGTTTCACGTTCATGTGGAGAAAAGACCATTGTTCTATGTGTGTTGTCGTACTTGCACCAATCATGTCTCAGATAAACTGTCAACAGTTATATCAAAGACATAATTGTCCTAATTGTTTCTAATTTAGCTATTTGGAAGAGAAACATGTCATAAAAGATTTCATAAAATGTCCCTACATCCTTGTTTTCAACCAATGGACAGTGGTGCGTTAGTGTGCCATCAAAGATGGTCTAATATCACCTTTAGCCTAAATTTAGAAATGCTTTAAATCATTTTTCAAACTTTAATTGTCTGAACAAACCATTTTGTACTAAATGCAGCGTCCATTAAAAGCTGCAGTTCTCTTTCTAGCACCAGTTTCAACTGTGCATGTGATTGTTTTAAATGAGAAACGAGCCACGGTTCAGAGGTTGAAAAAATCGCGTTAAATATCCGTATTACCAAGATCATGCAGTTTAAATCAATAATTCTAAACTTCTCCGCGTCTATAACTTTAAATAACAATAATAGTTTCAATAATAGAGCTCCTCTACTTTAAATATACTGCTGTTCTAATCTCCTTGTGTCTCATTCTAAAGTAAGAGTCTAATTAATTTTAACGATTGTCCTGTAATCTTTCATGCAGCTAAATGTGGTGTTATGAACGAATGACCTAAATGTGTAAATATGTCTTAATATGTCTCTGTGCGTTTGTTGCCTGTCTGTATATTTACCTTCTGTGTGTCTCATTTGCCCGGCCACGTCCTCCTCTTATGACGTCCGTTAATGTCTCTTTCTTTTACTTATGGCGTCTTTCAATGTCTTTTGTCTCAAAGTGTCCAATGTCTTTGCCTCAATGCCTTTTTTCTTCCTCTTTCAACAATCACTTTCTTTCTTCTTCTTCTTTCAACAATCACTTTTCTTTCTTCTTCCGATAACTTTTTCTCATAATGTCTTTTCCTTTTCAATCACTTTCTTCTTCTTTCGACAACTTTTCTCATGTCTTTCTTTGTCTCATTTTTGACGCACACAAATGTGTGTGTCCTTCTTCTTCTTGTTAGGTTTCCGGCGGTTGGCGGCCTATTTTTCGCATTACCGCCACCTTCTGTTCCGTAGATGGGACAACACTCATTTTGTGAAAAAGTCTGCGGTCTTTTCTTTGCCTCCTCACAGGCAGGAGAAGTCTTCTTCGAGAGTTCCTGTTAGCTGCTGCAGCCGATGCTGCCCCCTGCGACCCGCCGGGAGAGCGGGAGACGCTGATGGTCCGTGCTGATGGCGCCCGATTGAGGACTTGTGGCAGACGATTTTGGCACAAATGAAACAGACAGAAGTTTTCTCGGAAAAAACAGACAAACAAGAAGCACAAACAAGTGTGTTAATTACCATACAAAACCAATAATTAATTACAATTCAAGATAAACCTATGAAATAATTAATATTAACATTTTAAACATTAGATTCTGAAAACCGAATTTGCATTCAACTGTTATCCTAAGCCCTATTTTTCCAAAAGTATAATGCTCTCTAAAATCATTCTAACTTTTATATCACCAAAATGTAGGGAAAAAAACTTGTCCAGACGCCTTGGAGATAAAAAATAAAATAATGCCTCTTTATAATCTAACTCAAAGTTCTGTGATCCTATGACTCCATGTCAGTAACATTATCGTGTGTATAAATGTAATTTTCTACAAAAAATGTCTTTCTTCACGAGAGAGAGAGAAAGACAGAAAGAGAGAGAGAGAGAGAGAAAGAAGAAGGGGAGGGGCCTCCCGAACAAAGGAAAACATGGAGTCTGAAATACTTTCCTCGTTTTTCTCGTGACAAGGTTTTAATCAGTGGTAAAAGTTTTTCTCACGTCAAACGACACTTTACATTTTATCCTTAAATACGTCAGTAATGGAAAACATTACCATTTTCTACATGATTAATGTATCGAGAGTTCCAGCAGAATATTTTTTTTTTTTGATTCTCTGTAACAGGGGTGCTCAATACGTCGATTGCGATCTACCAGTCGATCGCAAAGGTAGTATTGGTAGATCGCATTAAATAAATAAATAAATACACATTCTAAACGAATATATACAAAAAACTCCGGGCAAAGTGGAGATTTTTGAAAACTCCGTTAATGCATTTGTGTGTAGACAGAGATAACCGGAGTTTTGCGTTCTCGCACGCCACAGTACCCCCCTAAATTCCTCTGATCACTGAAGCATGGATCATACTACCTTAAAAACTGTTCGCTGTGAGATGCTCGCAGCAGCGAACATCCTCCACATCAGAGAGCAGCAAAGTGATCGCGGGGACTCACGCTCGAAAACAACCAAACCAGGACTAAACCAGGACTAAACCAGGGCTAAACCAGGGCTAAACCAGGGCTGAGGACGGGGTCAGTGCTTGTAAACATACGTCTTTACTCTGAGTGTCTTCTATGACTGTAAAAGTGCCGTTACCGGCGTCTGCATCAAAGCTCCGCCCACTTCTGTGTTTTTCCCCAACGCAGGACAGGACGTAAGAGACGCACATGTTTGGAATGTTACGAATGTGATTGATAACGCAGATGTGTGGATGCAAATTATTTTATAAACTGAGGAGGGGAAATATTTGGATTTAAAAAAACCAGGCATGGCACATGGACATGGCACCACAGTCAAATGACATCTGTGTTTTACTCAGTAATGTTTTACTGACACTTAGGTGACTGCACATGCGCAAACAACCGCGCTCAGTGCAGGAAAGCTAAACCACGACAAACTTGTCAGCGAGTTACCACCAATTTTCCGGACTATGCATCCCTGGCCGATTCAATTCAGTGCAAGTCATCAGAGTAAACTCGGGTAATGACAAAAAATGTACATAGGTAATTGTGTTTTGTTGTGCTATATTGGCTCATGCGGTTTTGCACGTCCATAAACATATATTGTAGGTATAAAGAATATTTTTTGAAATAAATATATGATTTGCATTTTTGTAGTAGGTAGATCATTTTGACTTGATCCTTTTATAAGTAGCTCGCGTGCTGAAAAAGTGTGAGCACCCCTGCTCTGTAACTATTAACATTACATCAGAATAAGAGAAAAACTCCCAGAACTGATCTTTTGTCATTTCTTCACATGAAACTCGTATACTACAGCCAAGTGGCTCTCTTTTTTCTCATTAATCAGATCGTTATTATCAGAATTCACATTTTAAATACTTGGCTTTTTTCTGTTTAAATTAATTGTACCCTTTTTCCCGCCCCCCGGGGGATATAGAAGGTTTTATTATCCTATAACTTCTGACCCTAAATCTGTCCCTATTTCTCTAATTCTATTCCTATTTTTTCACTAATACGCTTGTGCCTCTCTGCACGAAGGTGTGCCTCTTTTGCACTTATAAACCCTGTGGCTCTTTTCATCATCTATGTTCTGTTTTTTTAAGGAGGGACCCATGCTTCCCCCAAGGCTAAAAACGTCGAGAAACCTGACTATTGTTCTATCGCGTCCGATAGAACGCCCCGTCACGGCGGTCGTCTGGCCACGCTGCAATCTGTCGAGCCAAAATCTCTCTCTCTTCTATTTAAAACAATGTGCAGATTTTCAAAACTATGATCCGCTTACCTCTTTAAAAGCGACATTTGTGAAGAGCAGAGAGATTTTTTCCAGGCCCACAAATCCAGTCTCTATAGCTGAGCTCATCTCTGTCTTGCTCCTGCACCATCACGTCGGGGGTCTCCAAATGCAGTCAATAATTCCCTTTGACTGACGTGTTCGAAAATGGATGCAGAAGTAAGGCAGAGATCTTCAAGTTTAACATCTGTATTTAATTTATCTTTACAATCAAATAACAGAAATTCAACCAGCTCCTATACTATCCATGTCCCTCTCTGGCCCTGGTCTGCTTCTCCAGTTCCCACCTCCAGCCAGAGCATAAAAAGAACAGGAAGGAGGGGAGTGTCCTATCAGCCAGCTTCCGGTCTAGGGTCCAGCCTTTTCCTCCGTCTGCCAGACTCCTGATGGAGTGAGGTTGAAAAGTGCAGAAGTCAGCAGGCCAAGACTAGGGAGGTGAAATACAAACAGCAGAATCCATCTGTTGTCCAGTTGCTGGCACAAGAAGACACCTAAAATAAAATAAGAAGGACTGGCCTCCCACTTAGAGGTCGTTTAGGTCATAAAACACATGGTTTTAGAATGTCATGTATTTATAAATACAACACAGGACACATGGTGATACGACACATGGTGATACGACACATAGTGATACGACACATAGTGCTACGACACATGGTGATACGACACATAGTGATACAACACAGGGTGATAGGACACATGGTGACAGGACACATGGTGATACGACACATGGTGATACGACACATAGTGATACGACACATAGTGCTACGACACATGGTGATACGACACATGGTGATACGACACATAGTGATAGGACACATGGTGACAGGACACATGGTGATACGACACATAGTGATGCGACACATAGTGCTACGACACATGGTGATACGACACATGGTGATACGACACATGGTGATACGACACATGGTGATACGACACATGGTGATACGACACATGGTGATACGACACATGGTGATACGACACATGGTGATATGACACATGGTGATACGACACATAGTGATACGACACATAGTGCTACGACACATGGTGATACGACACATGGTGATACGACACATGGTGATACGACACATGGTGATACGACACATGGTGATACGACACATGGTGATACGACACATGGTGATACGACACATAGTGATACGACACATAGTGCTACGACACATGGTGATACGACACATAGTGATACGACACATAGTGATAGGACACATGGTGACAGGACACATGGTGATACGACACATGGTGATACGACACATGGTGACAGGACACATGGTGATACGACACATGGTGATACGACACATGGTGATATGACACATGGTGATACGACACATAGTGATACGACACATGGTTATTAACACAAGTCAAAACTCTTTTGTCCAGAAGGAAACGTTCTGGAATCTTTACCTCAAACTGAACTCAGCAGCTCTTCACCATGTGTTTGTCATGTCTTTAACATGTCTTTGCCATGTCTTTAACATGTCTTTACCATGTCTTTAACATGTCTTTAACATGTCTTTACCATGTGTTTAACATGTCTTTAACATGTCTTTACCATGTGTTTAACATGTCTTTAACATGTCTTTACCATGTGTTTAACATGTCTTTAACATGTCTTTACCATGTGTTTAACATGTCTTTAACATGTCTTTACCATGTGTTTAACATGTCTTTAACATGTCTTTACCATGTGTTTGCTAAGTCTTTAACACGTCTTTACCATGTGTTTGCTAAGTCTTTAACATGTCTTTACCATGTGTTTGCTAAGTCTTTAACATGTCTTTACCATGTGTTTGCCATGTCTTTAACATGTCTTAACCATGCGTTTGCCATGTCTTTAACATGTCTTTACCATGTGTTTGCCATGTCTTTAACATGTCTTAACCATGTGTTTGCCATGTCTTTAACATGTCTTTACCATATCTTTAACATGTCTTTAACATGTCTTTACCATGTGTTTGCCATGTTTTTAACATGTCTTTAACATGTCTTAACCATGCGTTTGCCATGTCTTTAACATGTCTTTACCATGTGTTTGCCATGTCTTTAACATGTCTTAACCATGTGTTTGCCATGTCTTTAACATGTCTTTACCATGTCTTTAACATGTCTTTAACATGAAGCTCTTCGCGAAAGTTCACTGTGGTAGACCCGGCCACTGCTGCCAGATCTACAAGCCTGCTCATCCTCTAATCATTACACCAGCAAAACGCCCACATCCAATCCACCAATAACCACTAGGACAGCAAGTTAAAAGCCGGAGACGCCCACTTCCCGGCCTTCTGAAGTCTGCAAAGCCTCCGCCGCCCCACCTCCTCCTTCTCTCTTCAGAGCGTGCTCGCCTGCTGCCTCTGCCGTCACCAGTGCCTAGGCCCCGGGGGGGATTATGCACGCGAGCAAGCGCCGTGCTCAACAGCATCTCTCCCGGGCCTAGGGCGCCAAACATACTCAATCAATAAACTTCTAACTGCATTTTCCTCTTGGGTCTCTCCAAAGTGAAATGTCTTTACCATGTCTTTAACATGTCTTTACCATGTGTTTGCTAAGTCTTTAACATGTCTTTACCATGTGTTTGCCATGTCTTTAACATGTCTTTACCATGTGTTTGCCATGTCTTTAACATGTCTTTACCATGTGTTTGCCATGTCTTTAACATGTCTTTACCATGTGTTTGCTATGTCTTTAACATGTCTTTACCATGTGTTTAACATGTCTTTAACATGTCTTTACCATGTGTTTGCCATGTCTTTAACATGTCTTTACCATGTGTTTAACATGTCTTTACCATGTGTTTGCCATGTCTTTAACATGAAGCTCTTCGCGAAAGTTCACTGTGGTAGACCCGGCCGCTGCTGCCAGATCTACAAGCCTGCTCATCCTCTACTCATTACACCAGCAAAACGCCCACATCTAATCAACCAATAACCACCAGGACAGCAAGTTAAAAGCCGGAGACGCCCACTTCCCGGCCTTCTGAAGTCTGCAAACTTCTGAAGTCTGCAAGGTGCATGTCGCTAACGCACCTGTTCGCAAATGCATGCGTTGTTCTGGAGGGGTCGCTTCTGCTCACGTGTTGCTCGTGCGCGTGGCCCGGATGTCCTCAGTCTGGCTGCTCGGGGTCTGCTCCTCCTCGGCGTCCCTGCACCTGCTGTGGTTCGCGTGTCTCCACTGCTTTCCTCCTCTGTGGGCTGATCCGCGGGGCCCCTCCGCGGGGCCCCTCTGCAGGTTCTGTGTTGCTCGTTCCTCGTGGTCTGATGCCGCGCGCAGACGGTCTGGCGGTGCCGTGCATGTCCCTGCCTCCGATTGGCGGTGCCGCGTTGTCCCGTTGCTTTTCCCAAGTCTCCTGGCATGTGAGTACAGTGAGTGTGCCGACCGCGGACGGATTAATCCCGGAGTCTGGGCTGCAGGCGGCTGGTTTTTGCCCTACGCACTTGACTGCAGGCGTCAGTTTTCGCCCCGTGCTTGGTCTGCAGGCTCCGTTTTCACACGTGTTTGAGCTAACTGAGGGGCAATGCATTATTAAATGGCATCAATCTCTATTGTCTGAGGGATATAAGAGGAGCAATGTGCATAATTCAGAGTCATGTTCTGCCACTTGCAGTAAAACCACGTTGGAAATATGTGCAAAGACTACCCATCGTGTTCCAGACGGCACACACCAGAGCTCTTGCCACGGCGCCATCTTTACAGCATTAATCTCATTACTCGCAGGTCACTATTGTTAAATGGATGTATTTAAATTCGTCTATCTGCGGGAGGAAGGAGGGGCCATGCATTTAAATAGCTAGGTCACTAGTATTAAATTGGGTAACTAAACTGCAGTTGTTGCATTTTGAAAGTGCAGCAGAAAGAAAAAGGGCCCAATGTGAATCTGCAATGGGCGTGAAGTGGAGTTGGAGCTAATGAACGCGTGGAACAGTGATCGTTCATGCGTATCTGCCATAACCAAAGCAGCAGATGGCTCCTGGGGACATCTGTTATTCGCATGGGAATGTTTCGGATTCGGGTTGATTTATTTCCTCAGGCTGTTAAACAACCGTGGGCATGGTTCTCTGACCGCCGCTGCTGCGGTCTCTGCTGCCGGTCCTACTGATGCCTGATCCCGCTGCTGCCTGTTCCCGCTGCTGCCTGTTCCTGCTGCCGCTCCTGCTGCTGCCTGTTCCTGCTGCTGTCTGTCCCTGCTGCCTGTTCCTGCTGCTGCCTGTTCCTGCTGCTGCTCCTGCTGCTGCCTGTCCCTGCTGCCTGCTCCTGCTGCTGCCTGTCCCTGCTGCTGTCTGTCCCTGCTGCCTGTTCCTGCTGCTGCCTGTTCCTGCTGCTGCTCCTGCTGCTGCCTGTCCCTGCTGCCTGCTCCTGCTGCTCCTACTACTACATGTGCCGCTGCTGCTGTTCCTGCCGCTGCGCGGGCTCCCAGGCGGCACCTGTCTCTACGGCTCGGCTCTTTCAGACACGTATGTAACCTGGCTCACGGAGACAAGCGGCGCACGCTGGCGTGACACGTCTGTTGTTCGTATGAATCGCATTGTGGTGCTACTGCTCCTGCTAATGCTGCTTCTGCTGCTTCATACTGCTACCGCTACTGCTGCTGCCGCTAATGCTGCTATTAGAGCCCTGCACGGGCCTATTATCTGGGCCCGAGCCCGGCCCTGGCCCGAGGGGGTGGCGCCCCAGCCCGGCCCGGCCCGATATGGTTTCTGAATTTTCAGGCCCGAAACCCGCATCAAGCCCGCCTTTTTTTTTTTTTTGTAACCTCCCATAACAATGTTTTAGCGTAGTATATAGTGCCGCGCACTGATATGAACGCAGACTTAGCTAGAGGGCGGAGTTATACATGGTAGTGATGTGTTGCAATGAGTTTTGTGTGTGCGGAGTGGTGCAGAGTGAACGGCCGCATCTGTATGATGCCCCCGATGCTGCAACACATCTGCACATTACATAAGTAATGCTATGTGCCGTCAATGACAACACTACACAGAACAACAAACACTACAGCGTGATAGAACGCTATATTCAGTGGGTGCGCTCGTAAATGTATTCTGCCGCCCTGAAAATGAAGAGCCCGAGCGCGGCCCGTGTCCGAGGTCATTATGCGGTCATCGGCCCGAAGCCCGGCCCTCGGGCTGTCGGGCCGTCGGGGCCCTCGGGCCAAGGGCTCAAGTGCAGGGCTCTAGCTGCTATTGCTGCCGCTGCTGCTTCATACTGCTACTGCTGCCGTGCTGCTGCTGCTTCTTTACTTTGACACCTCTCTTCACTTCGCATCTCTTTTACTGAAACACTAAACAGCTTCAACAATATTCTACTGCTGTGGCTTTGATACAGGATTATTGCTGTTATTATCTACGGATGCTGCAACCGCTGCTGCTGCTGCTTCATACTGCTACTGCTGCTCCTGCTAATGCTGCTTCTGCTGCTTCATACTGCTACCGTTACTGCTGCTACTGCTGCCGCTGCTGCTTCATACTGCATCTGCTGCCGTGCTGCTGCTGCTTCATGTACTTTGACATCTCTCTTCACTTCGCATCTCTTTTACTGAAACACTAAACAGCTACAACAATATTCTACTGCTCTGGCTTTGATACAGGATTATTGCTGTTATTATCTACGGATGCTGCAGCTGCTGCTGCTGCTACTGCTGCTTCATACTGCTACTGCTGCTGCTTCATACTGCTACTGCTGCTGCTTCATACGGCTGCTGCTGCTACTACTGCTGCTGCTGCTTCATTTACTTTGCCATCTCTCTTCACTTGCATCTCTTTTACTGAAACACTGAACAGCTACAACAACATTCTACTGCTGTGGCTTAGATACAGAATTATTACTGTTATTTTCTAAGGACGCTGCTGCTGCTGCTGCTGCTACTGCTGCTGCCGCGGCTTGATACAGGACTATTGCTGTTATTATCTGAGGTTACTGCTGCTGCCGCTGCTGCTACTGCTACTGCTGCAACCCACTCTCTCAGAAGCTTATCCCGCTTCTAATGGATGCAGCCCGGCTGAGTATGCCGCGCCGCGCTGGACTCGCACCTGTGCTCCCAGGGTCGCTTCGGCGGTCGTGCTTCATCTCTCTACTTAATCTTCTGATCTATCAGATGCAGCTGGCCAAGTAGCTGCGCTGAGCCGTCAATCGGACTCCTAATCAAAGGCATCCATACCTGTATTCTTCACTCTTCTGATCGCAGGTTCCCCATCATGCTGCCCATCCTGCAGCGGCGCTGAACTCCGGCTCATCTTCCAAGTACATGTCTGCCCTCCTCGCAGCATCTTCCTGCTCTCCTTCTGTGGCTTCTCTGCATAAGCGTCTCACCATTGCTCACTCAACCTTCATGCGGTCCGAGACACGGCTTTCCCGACCA